TGTCTATCGAAAGTGATAGTTGTATATTCAAACACCATCTCTATAGCTATTATTTTGGTCAGGGTTTAATTATTAACAATTTCTTGCTCATCCTTATCAGGTTCCCTATATTTTTCCCATTGCGGACACCTATGTGTGTTCAACCGGGCATTCCGCTAGAAGTTCATATCTGGCGTTGTTGTGGTACTTCAAAGGTAATTACTTCCATGCATGTTTGTATACTTCCCATTCTGTATCACCTAGAGTAATGGTTTTGAGGATGACTACATGAAGTGATTTGAATAAATTGAGTTTCCCCAATCATCACATGTTGTAGAAGCAAGTTGAATCCATGTCCATAATATAAATCTCCATACTCAAGAACCCATCTTCATTGAAGTATGAATTTGCTCCCATCTTCATTGACTTTTTGCTTGATGAAAAATAGGTTTGGTACGAGTGGGGCGTGAGTTCTCCCAGCTCATCTCCTATACACAACTGCAATGGTCGCTCATACTGGGTTGGCTTGTAAGAGTTTCTTCAGTGTGATTTGAGCTTTCGAGATAGCATGATGTGATATTGAACTTCAAATGAATATCAAGTCTAATGTTGCTTGTTAAAACTGTCGTAATCATGGGTTCGAATCGCTTATCTTTCGATGAAAGTTGCTGGAAATGCCAACTGGTGCTCAACATGCCAAATTGTTTGTCTGTGCACTTCATGGTGCTTTAAAATTTTGTTCAGTAGAAATTTTGTAGAGTTTAGGTTCAGATAACCTTAAACTACTGTAGTAAAATAATCTTTTTCTTATAATGAATGTATTTTGCGTTGTGCTATGTGTGATCTTTTTTTTAATGTAAAATCCTACAGCATATCGTCAGTCAATACCATCTTAAATCGACACAATAACTATTGTTAGTTGTCACCACCATCAATTTTCATTTAAAATATTTTGTTGATATAATATTAAATCAATTAAATATAGATAAAACAAATAGTCTTAACTATTTAATATTTATATCTTAATACAAACATCATAATAATTAGATGTTTATTTATATTTAGACTTTTGAATTTCAATGCATAATTATGCATTCAGTTCAAATGTCATAATCTTAATAAAAATAATTGAGCACTAAATCAACTTCATGATTAAATAAATTATGTGACACTTACAATGCCATAAGTAAATAATAGAATGACCATGGAGGAATATTGAGGACTTAAGTTTTGTTCTTTTTTTGTTTTGTTTTCTACCTAGTGTTACTAAATTCCAACTGTACACCGTGGGACCTATTTGAGATGACTTTCAACAAAATTTTCTTCATTTTCAGAATTTGAATACGTTTAATTAAGAATGAAACAATTTCTCCACTTCACTACGACTTAGATTGATCTTAAGTTTTTTGTTTAAGTTATAGAGAGAAAAAAAAGAAACAATAGATTGGAATAAAACCTAGTATGAGGACATCTTTGGACCTCTCAGAAGATATTTAAATTAATATAAAGAGTGACAAAATGCTCATTGATTATAATTTATAACGATAATGACTACATTTTTTTTTAGTTATATTAAAAAATAAAATAATGAATCTACATTTTTTTCTTATATTAAAACAAAAAAAAAAAAGGAAAGATAATGACGGTAGATATATTTTTATCCTCACAAGAGTTCATCTCACATTTGTCTTCCCTAGAAATCAACTCTGATAATTTTTGGACATGTCAAAAAAAACATTTTAAGCTGGCGGTATCTTTGTTCTTTTGTAATAAATAAATGTATTGATGGATATGAATTTATACCTAGGATAATTTATTTATGTTTAAAATAAAACTTACATATATAAATTACATTAAAAAAATACTTTAAGTTATAATAATTAATAATTCAAAATATTGACATATTGGTTGGTGTGCATTTTGAATGCCTTGAACTGCATAGCTAACCTTTTGCATGTTGTTCAAGATATATAATGTATCTTATAAATATACAGTGTAATTTCTTGTTGAGAGAGTTTGGGATAACACATGTGGCAATGGCGAAGCCACCTTACAGGAAAATTATATTATTTATATATGGTTAAAATAATTTTTTAGGTATATATAGTAATGTCCAACCTCCTTCGATTAGTTCATGTGTCTATTTTTTCAAATTTTGAATCTCCTTATTGAAAATTCTGGCTCCGACACTGCCATGTGGTACATACTGAGCTAGGTTAATTAGTCCTAGGTTGTTTTTGTCTAAGAATTGGGACCAACAAAACTCTTATATTTTCTTCCAATTTGATATGGTGTATCATTGATAATATTTAAAATTAAAATCAAGCAAAGTGTATCAGTTTTCAGATTTTATTTTGATTTTTGTATTTAATTATTACAATTTAGTAAAGTTTAGACGAGTACATCTAGAAAAAATATTGTTAGTAAGAAACTACAATCATGTGTTTAATAGTACATAAACATGTATTTGATTTATCAAAACTTTTATCTATAAATCCAAAAAGATAATATTCATGTGAAGAAAAAACTGACCAAATCGATTCAAGTTGGTTTTGATAAAAAATCGAAGCCCTCATGTACTATCCGTCCATTTAAGTGCATGTCAATTATTTTATCGAATATCTGCTATTTTCTATCAATATATCTATGGAATATAACTCGGGTCTATACTATATGGAAGCCTGAGTTCGAGGCACAATGGCAAACCAACCGTGATTCATCTTATTTTCTTTCCCTTTTCTTATAAGTCGAGAAATATATAGGTGGCAAATGAGCGGGTTGGATTGAATTTGGGCTAGATATCAATTCAAATTTTGATGAACTAAAATGGGTTGAATTGAAATGGATCAAGCTAATAGATGAATGGATCAATAATTAGTCAGCATAGTAAGGATCGTAGACTTATTAACCGATGCTTCTAATTATAATATTAATTCACAAAGAATGAATTAATCTTATAATAATAGATTATAAATTATTCCATTAAATTTTTTAATTACATCCTCGATTTAATTTCAAAATCTATACAAGTCAAATTCATTTGATTATCAATTGAGTTGCACATGATCACGATGACACGACTTCAATCAATGACACATTATCTACTTTGAATCTAGGTCTATACAAATTCGACTTTGGGGCTAAGCTACACCGAACTCCAAAAACGCTTGAGTTTTGCCTTTCTAAACCTTTTTACCTTTTTTTTCCCATTTTCAATTAGGTGCAGAACCAACTTGTGGTTCGGGGTTCATCTGAACTCCTTCAGTGGATAAAAGTATTTTTTTTTATGTCTATATAGTAGATATCGAACTCCAATTAATTAATTCGCACATTTTCTTCTCCAGATTTTAAACCTTTTAGTAAAAAAATCTTAACTCTCCTACTATTTTCGATATGAGATTCGCTTAAACTGTCACGTACGTGTTATTACTTGTCGACCCGTCCTCCCTCACACATGAAATAACAATGTTGCACATGAGGTCATGTAACTTTCCATCTCTCACTCCTACTTACCCAAAACAAACTAGAAATGCAACTATTTAATTTCTTTCATTTTCAACACAAATTCCATAAAAATAGAAATAAATTGAATTATAACTAAAAAGAATCATTTTTTTTTAGATAAACTCCAAAAGAAAACAATCACTGCTGATGAAACAAAAATATATTATTTTATTTATTTTTACAAAAAGAGGACCCCTCAATCACTAATATAAGGAGGACAAAAAACATATGGTACCATATGCGTATAGCCCATTGTTTTTCTCTAGAATTATGTGTTCTAATAATTAAATTAATTAGCTGGAAAATAAAACTAATGAATATTAATTAATTAATAGATCAAAAAATTCAGAATACAACTTGTGTATTCATAACATACCTCCAAAATATTGGCTGTGTTTTTTGCATAGAGCCAAAAATAATAACATAATGTCACATGGGTGCCTATAATTTCTCCATCTTGTGTGTATTATAACACCAAAAAAAATAAAGTAATAAGAATATATTCTACTTTTAGCATAATAATAATAATAATAATAATTGTGCCTCAGTCTCAAGCAAATTTGAGTCGATTATATAATTTTGCTTATATTCATGTCACTCTATTTAATGCGTAAAATTAGGCGAGAGATACTAGTATTTTGAACCGACAATCAAAGTTTTAGTCATTGTTTCAAATGTAATTAGAAAGTAATTATTTTTCTACCCAGAAATAAAATTTGAACAAAAATATTCCTAGATAAAACATGGAATAATTATTGTAATTAATGTTAGAGTTAGAAATTTGAACCTAAGAATTGTCTAATTTTGTGAATTTACTTGGAGTATTACCCAAATTATATATAGCTTGTTTTGGGTAAATGAAATTAGGTTAACTATGTTATGTGACAAAACAAAAATACAAATTAAAAAGAAAAGCAGTACCCTAGTGAGAGAGGACAAAAAAAGAAGAAGATACTCTCGTGTTATTTTAACTATTGTTTTAGCTCCTTTTATTATTATTATTATTATTAAGAACAACAAATATAAGTTATAATTTACTAGATTATTCCTATTTATTAATGGTGAACTAATTTTGCTCTTAAATATTGTGCATATTTCTTTAAATTTTGAGAGTATAGTTGGACATAATTATCAACTTTTGTCTTGAACTTTTAAAGTGATAATTATTTTACACTATAACAAATAAAGGAATTTGCGATAATAATATAATTTTGGTTATATTATAATTGGTGTTAACAATGAATATGAGCATTCAAAATTAATACTTTTATATAAATGCTGTCAGGTTTAAGACTCTGAGTATAATAACATTAACTCAATTGCCGTTAAATATTTTTGCGACAATAAATAATGCCTCTAATTAAAAGGAAAATGCATTGTTACACTAAGTATTTCTTTTATTGTAGTATCAAGATAAATTTTTAATACTAAAATGACAGTTAAAATAGGACAAAAGAAAGTAAAATAACTATGATATATATGTATGTATATACTATCTCAACCCTATAAATACCTCCATCCATTCACAAACCATTCACTCACCATTTCTCCAAGAATACATTTATTTATTTTTCACAATGGCTTCCAAGAAGTTTTTCTCTACTCTTGCTCTTTTCCTTTCCCTTAACCTAATTTTCTTCACATTTGTTTCAAGTTGTAACACTTGCCCTAAACCTAAACCAAAACCAAAACCAAAGCCATCATGTCCACCACCACCTTATGTACCAAAATACAAAACTTGTCCAATTGATACCTTAAAATTAGGTGTTTGTGCAGATGTTCTTGGATTAGTTAATGTTGTTGTTGGTTCACCACCAGTCACACCTTGTTGTAGTCTTATTTCTGGACTTGCTGATGTTGAAGCTGCCCTTTGTCTTTGTACTGCTCTTAAGGCTAATGTTTTAGGGATTAACCTTAATGTCCCTATTTCATTGAGCTTGCTTCTCAATGTTTGTTCCAAGAAAGTTCCATATGGATTCCAATGTCCTAATTAGTTGAATTGTTTCTTTTCAAATTTATGTGTAGACTTTTCTTTTTAATTCATTCGTGAATAATAATTTAAGGGTGCTTCCCTTTTCATTGTTTGTATTTTGGTGGGGGTGGGGGTGGGGATTGAAATGGAATTGTGGGTTGTGCCTAAGTGTTGATTGGTAAGTGTCTTATTTATCAATTGAAAGTTGTTTATGGTTAAGATTGTATTCAAGTTTTATTTTCTTGGAGAAAAAAATAATCCAATTTCTATATATTTTGCACATCGACTATCGTATTGTTTTTTTAAATTTGATTGTGATTTGAGTTGAGAGGTTTTTGTATTCGACTATAAGCTCTATATATTGAAGGTGTAAAAAAATATATGTAGGATCGATCAGTTTTATATAGAAGATGATTGTATGTAATTTGTTAATTGATAACATTACATTTTAAAAATTGGAAAAAGAATATTTTTTATAATAGATCACATTATACTATTTGTGTAAAAAAGGATAAAAGTTTTCCAAAAAAGAAAAAAACATGGAGAGAACAAACATAATCATACTTTTCCAAATTAGCTTAATTTGAGAGGGAAAAAGAATAATAGTTTCATCTTAGTTTAAAGAAACTTTGAGGTTAATTATGTTAATATATTCAAGGAGAAAAAATCAAATTAATCTTCTACTTTCAAATAGTATTTAGGTCTAACCTTACAACTATTCGCACATAAAATATCTCACATCGTTATCATTTGTTAAAAATCTACGATATCTCTCACTAGCAAATTATGTACCAGAAATAAGTTCAAAATTATGGAATAATAAAATAAAATACGGTAATAAAGAAAGAAAAGATGAGAGTTTATATACCATAGATAATATATTTTTTTAAGTTTTACATATATCTTAATTTGAGAGGAAAAATAAAGTTTTATTTGTTGGAAAATAGAAATTAAGATGTTATAAATAATTTAAGGTTGTTTTATGCCAAAATGTGAATTAAGTTTCTTCACAAATAACAAATAAATTTTGTTCCCACAATTATAAACAAAGGCTCCGGTGTAGCACTGGCAATTCTCGTATTTCTGGAATCCGGCCGGGTTCAAATCCCGGCAACGGAATAATTTTTTTGTGTGATATTTTTTACTTATATTTGTTTTTTTGGTTTTTTATTTGGTGTCTGCTATCCGCATTAAATCTCGACTAATATGAATTTCCACGCGATATGACCTATTTAGGGGTAGCTTTCTCTATCAAGAATTTTTTTCTTACCCAAGGTTCGAAATCGAGACTCTAATTAACACTTTGTTTGGATGATTGTTACACAATATTTCATATCGTATTGTATTGTGTTGTATTGTTTTGTATTGTATCGTACTATATTGTTTAAATAAATATACATTATTTGTATAAATAGCATCATTCTCTCCGATGTTACATAATGTCATACTCCTTGATGATTTGAATGATAAACAGAAAAGTAGGGTACGAGGTAGAGCTACTATGAAAAAGTAGGGTTAAAGCTGAAATATGATTATTAAATAATAAATAAAGACAAGAATGAGAAGAAAATATTAAGGTAAGGTAAGTGCACGATCACACCAAATCGATTGTTACATAAAATTAATCTTTTCGTCGTAACCTAACGATGATACAAATTTAGAATTTCAAGTCATTTAAATTATTGTGTCTTTAGAAATTATTTTATACATATTTAATACCTCTGTTCTTTTTTAATAAATACAAGATTTAGACTAAAAACGACTGGTTTATCAAACCCGTAAACTTTATACTAACTCCACCTCTACAGCAATATATGTTAATAGATTTAAGGGGAAAAAAAGACTAAATTTACTCCTCTACTTTCAAATATTATCTATGTTTAACCTTATACTTCTTTCCGCTTAATTTAATTGTCCTATTCCAAAAATTACGTGTATAAGCAAACATATAATAGTTAATTAGTTAATATAGCTACAGTTTGCCTTTATTACAATTCGCGACCTACTTTTAGGTATAATTACACAGCTCGACTTTTTAGTTTTGTATAATTCGCACGTTTGTATAATTCAGAATTTGTATAATATAATTTGTATAACTTTTGTATAATTCGGAATTTGTATAATATAATTTGTATAAGTTTTGTATAATTCAGAATTTGTATGATATAATTTGTATAACTTTTGTATAATTCGGAATTTGTATAATATAATTTGTATAAGTTTTGTATAATTCAGAATTTGTATGATATAATTTGTATAACTTTTGTATAATTCGGAATTTGTATAATATAATTTGTATAAGTTTTGTATAATTCAGAATTTGTATGATATAATTTGTATAACTTTTGTATAATTCGGAATTTGCATAATATAATTTGTAGAACTGTTTACACTTCTGGTGTTTGTAATTGTATAAATTCGTTATTTCGAGTTTATACAAAAATAACTGAATTATACAAATGTACCCGCGAATTATACAAACCTGTGAATTTATACAAATCCGCAAATTATACAAACGAGATAGCTTAAATTGTAGCTACAGCCCATAAATATGCAAACTATAGCTATGAGCATAATTAAGTTTATTATAGTGGCTATTTGTGAAAGTTCTTTTTTTTTTCTTTTTTTTTTTGTTGGTAGTTCTTTAATTCAATTTTTCACATTAAGACCATAAGACTAAAGTATTGTAGTACATTTAACATATTTTTATTTATAATCTTAAATTTTATTTTATTTTATTTTAAAAAAAAACTCTCTATCAAGTCAAAATTTAAAAAACAAAATTGAAACCAATAATACTTTACAGATAAAACTATCTATGGAGTTACCAATATTATATTCTTCAATATCCAGCAAAGTTCACTAGAGTTGAAATATATTTTATAAAGGCATCACTTGTGGAATCCGGGTTCAAATCCCGGCAGCGGAATTATTTTTTAGAAGTCTCGAATTCGAGCGAAATTATTTTTTAGAGGTCTCAGAAGGCATCTTTGATTGGATCCTGCAATGCACGATTCGAATTTTGTAATCGAGATTCTAATGCAGATTTTGAATATTGAGAGAGGGAAACCATAAAGGAAAAAAAGCCTTTTTCACCAATTTCCATGACCCTCTCCACCTAATCCATTTCCCACTTCATTTCATTAATTGATAACATAAAATTTAAAAAATGGAAAAATATCTTTTTATAATAGATCACAATATACTATTAGTTGTAAAAAAAGTTTGAATAATATAATCTTAATTTGAGAGGGGAAAAAAATTAAGATGTTATAAATAATTTAAGGTTATTTTGTGCCATAATGTGAATTAAGTTTTTTTACGGTTACAAATATATTTAGTTCCCAAAATAATAACCAAAGATTCCGTTGTAGCACTGGCAATTCTCATACTTGATGAAAGAATCCGGGTTCAAATCCCGGCAACGGAATAAATTTTTTGGTTTTTTTATTTGGTGTCTGCTATAAATATTGAATCTTGACTAATATGAATTTCCACGGGATATGACCTATTTAGGAGTAGATTTCTCTATCAAGAATTTTTCCTCACCCATGGTTCGGAATCGAGACTCTAATTAACACTTTATTTGGATGGTAACCTATCATGTATTGTATTATATTGTGTTAAATTATTTTAGTGAATAGAATGTTTGAATATATTGTATCATTCTCCGTCGTTATATAATGTGTTTGGAAGTTAAAAAAAATGTCTGAAGTTGTTTTTAGCTAATATTTAGGCATAATACATAAACATGACCCTTAACTTGAATTCAACGGACAACTATGCCCTCCAACTTTGAGTGTACAAAAGTAGACACTTAAACTTGTATAAAATTGAACAAGTAAACACACGTGTCCTATGGCATAATACACGTAGGACACAAAATTGCAATGTCGGGTGCCATGTAGGATGAATGTGTCTATTTGTTCAATTTTATACAAGTTTAAGTGCCTACCTGTGCACACCCAAAGTTAAAGGTAATAGTTGCCAACTGACGCTAAGTTAAGGGTCATGTTTATTTATTATGCCTAATATTTATATGCTTGAAGTCACATCAAGAAATTGTAGGGATATATTTGATCCTAATTTGAGAGAAAAAATAAAAGTTTCTTTTGGGAAAAGAAAAAAATATTATCTATGTTTTACTTCATACTTCTTTCGTTTTAATGTTTGTTCTACTTTTCTTTTTTTTATATAGTTCTTTAATTTCAATTTTTCACATAACATATTTAATATCATAAGACTAAAAAATATTGTGGTACATTTGACATATCTTTATATAATATAACCTTAAAAATTCAAAGTATTTTCTTTATCAAACTCTGTATCAAATCAAATTATAACAAACAAATTGAAACCAATAATACTTGACCGATAAAACTATTTATGCAATTTCCATTATTAAATTTTTCAATATCCAACAAAGTCCACTATAGTAAAATATATTTTGTTTGCAACAAAATGCTGAAAAAACTCCGCTGTAGCAATGGCAATTCTCAAATTGATCATAGTGACGGTCATCACTTGGAATCCGGCTTCAAATCCCGGCAGCGGAAATTTTTTATTATCAGATTATCGGTTCTTAACAGTTTAAGGTTTTTTCTTAACTGATAAGACGATAGTAAATTACTCCCTCCGTCTCATATTAGATGCGCATCTTACTAAAATTATTTGTCTCATATTACTTGATCACTTACCCCTTCAATTAATATGACTTTTGAAAGTTTAAATAAATTTTGAAGATTCAATTTTTTTTTTCAAGAGGCTAATTATATGAACAAAGGGCAAAATAGTAAAATTGATCAACCTATTAACGATTTCTTAATCACCGTGTAAAATAGAAAGTACCCATCTATTATGGGACATAGGGAATAATAAACTACATTATAGGTAAAAGTTAAACTTTTGATATGTTGCCCATTTTATATAAGTTTTAATTTTTGCAAAAAGTAGAAGTTCAGGATATCTCGAGATAATGAACCTACTCAATTGACCAGAAATTTAACCTTATAAGCAAAAATTAGAACTTAGATAGAAGAAAAATTGGCATAGCATGACATGTTATAGTTAAAAT